CCCTCCTCGGTTGTGTGGTGCCCCGTGAAGACCCGGCTGGGCTCCTCCTGTGCTCAGCAGCAAGTGAGAAGCAGCCCCCTCAGGGCCTCGCGCGTGGGCGGCCGGGCCCAGAGGGCTGCAGCTCCCAGGGGGAGACTGGCCAGGGGAGGAGGCGCCGCCTTGCTGAGGCAGGGCAGGGCAGCGGGGCTGGCCTGAAGCAGGCGCGTGGGGAGGCAAGCACGAGCCAGCAGTGGCCGCTGCTTGGCCTCCCGTGCGGGGCTGCTCCCCCAGGCCCTGTGGGGGTAAGCAGCTCCCCTCCCCTGCCCGCCTCGCCACTGGCCGTCGCTGCCCGCCTCGCTGTGGCACTGCGGGCTACCGCTGCCTGCCTTGGGCCAGATAAAATGGCTTGGCGGGCTACATGGTAGCCCACGGACCGTATGTTGGACAAGCCTGCTATAGTCTGTTGTGGAAAGGAAGCAGAACTCTTTTGGTTAAGGTACAGACTACACCACACCATCAGTACTACGAGGCTGAAATCCCTCCCTCCGGAGACTGTTAAAATCTAATCGAGTTACAACTTCACAGCGCACAAGAAGGGTATCATCTTTTACAAAGGTTCTTTGTTTCAGAGCTTGCAGGTGCATGAAAGTCACGTAACCAAAACCCTTTGGGTTGCGGTGGATTGTTGGTCTCTGGAAGGCTAGCAGCTCAGGTTTGGCTTCCATTACTTCTTCATGATTCAGCCTTTCAGGTCCTTCTGATTGATCCAGAATAGAAAGCCGTATGGTGCCCTGGAATGGCCAAGGCAGATAGCTGTCGTATTCCCCTTGCATAGTATGGACAAAAAGGGATATAAAGTTTGCACAACGCTGAGCATTTGGTAACTGGATATGCAGACGCAAACACAGTTTGTAGCCAGGTTTTCCAGTGTAGAAGCCAGGGCTGTGTGTCACAACAGGCCTTTCTTCTTCTTGGGCTTTCAGAAGTGAAGAGAAATTCTCAATCTTCCAGATATAAATGCCATTACATTGCTGTGCCTCCATTTCAGCAATTTTCCCCTCTAGGTTTCGGATAGTACGTTTGAGCTCAACCATGTTAATACTCTGAGTTTCCATTTTAGCAATCAGCTCTCTGATTTGGTGATCTTGTCTTACCAAGCGACCTTCCAACTGCTGAATGGTCTCCTTGAAGTTCTCTACTTCCGGGTTGCACTCATATGGAGAAGATGAAGGGTGGGAGAAAAGGGCTGGCTCAAAGGATGGGCCATTGGAGAAGGATACAGGAACTGTGGCAGTCATACTGATACTTCGGAGAGTCTGAGCCATCATTCTCATGTGAACCTGAGTAAATTCCTGCATGTGGCGTGCCAATTCATTTCTCTGCATCTAGAGTTTAAAGAGATGTGACGTTATGAACATAACAAGAATTAGCAACATTTCATGCAACTGAGTCGCAAATATGTGGCTAAAAAAAAAAGGCCGTACATATTAGGAATGTGGTCAGTACTATCAGATACGACGAAATTGAAGACAAGTTGCAGAATTCATAAGATGTTTGGGGTGCAAGGGATCTCAGTAGATCACTGAGTTTGGCCCCCTGCACCCTGGGCAGGAAAGAACGCTGGGGTTAGATGACCCCAGCCAGGTGCATGTCTAGCCTCCTCTTAAAGACCCCCAAGGTAGGGGAGAGCACCACCTCCCTTGGAAGCTTATTCCAGATCCTGGCAACCCTAACCATAAAGAAGTTCTTCCTGATGTCTAACCTAAATCTGCTCTCCATCAGTTTGTGGCCAGTGTTCCTAGTTACTCCAAGGGGTACCTTGGTAAACAGAGCATCTCCTATTTCTTGCTGCCCCCCCTGATGAATTTGTAGGTGGCCACAAGATCACCTCTCAGCCTTCTCTTGTGGAGGCTGAAGAGATCTAGGGCCCTCAATCTCTCCTCATAGGGCTTTGCCTGCAGGCCCCTAACCATACAACCTCTGAACCGTCGAGGTTGTCCACATCCCTCTTGAAGTGCGGCGCCCAAAACTGGACGCAGTACTCCAACTGTGGCCTGACCAGTGCTGCATAGAGGGGAAGGATCACCTCCCTGGACCTGTTTGTCATGCACCTGCTAATGCATGATAAAGTGTGGTTAGCTTTACTGATTGCTTTGTCACATTGACGACTCATGTTCATCTTGGTGTCAACAAAGACTCAGAAAACCCTTTCCGCTGCTGTGCTGCTGAGAAGGTCCTCCCCAGCCTGTAAGTGTGCTGGTGAGTCCTTCTCCTTCAGACAAATAGGTTTAATGTTTTCTTATACTGCAGCACTACAGTCCCTACATGGCACTACTGTAATGGGAAACCCAAATATGAAGATGCTCAAAAAAGCTAGGGAGCAGCAAGATGAAGAGAAAAATTACATGATTAAAAGGAGGCAAGGCAACCACAGAACATGGGAATATTTCAGCAACTTAGTATTTTCACAAAAATGAAATAAAATAATTTGGGAATCATGGAGATGCGAGTCACATCATTAAATTTCTCTTTTCCCTAAATTTCAGGAGCTATATATTCGGATACACCTAACTGTACAGCCCTTGTTTAAAAGAATAGGGGACAAGGCTACAGAACACTGTTGGCATTTAAGTACAAAATATACTTGTGAATCAACATAGGTGAGAAAAAAATCATTCACCAAAATTTAGCACTCAAAAACCTTCTGTCAATGTTCTTACCCTACCCTTACTGATTTCTACAGGAGCAAAGTCAGGCCACCACTTGGTCCTTTCCACAATGCCACTCAAAATCAAGCCAAGATCAACAGTACCTAGCATCAGGTAAAATGGTAACTGTGGTGCTCCTTGCATCTGCGGAACAAGAACAGACCTACCTTTTCAGGACATCCAAAGGCACTGTAAGTACACGGGACTGGGGCTGTAGGACAGTCATTATCATAATGATTAGGCATCTAAAAACAAAGTCAGAGTTGAGTTTAAATACCTTACATTAAAATTCTTATATTTTCTTCAAATGAAAGTTTTCTAATATCAGAAAAGATATGATTACCTTAGCTGACATGTGGAAGTACCCACATGTCAGCTAAGTATTGACTTAGGGACATGTGACTAAGAGGCATCTCCTGGGTCAATGAATCCAGTTTCAGGCTAGATCATCATAACTTTATAACCCTTTTCATAAACTGATAAAGTTCCACCTTCAAATTATCTAGTTTTTTTTGCTCCAGTCCTTTTATGGAAAGACTTCGAAAATCTCATTCCTCATAACTCCAAACCTAAATTTATTCCCAGTCAGTTAACAGACATGTTTTTATGCCAGCATTGTTCCTTAGCTTAAATACTTACTCTTCCTCTCTTGTATTCATCCCTGATGCATTTACAGAGCAAACATTTCCTCTCTCAATCTCTGTTCTAAAAGGCTAAGCAAGCCAAATTCTTCCAGGTTATGCCCAGGATTGTATTTGCCCCTCTCATAGCTTTCTGACAACTGGTGGATCACTCTTGGAAATGATAACATGAATCAAAACCTAAATAGGTGGCTATCCTTTAAGAGATTTCAACAGTACAGGGTAATCATCATCATACACCAGCTTGCATCTTAGTCACTGTTTGCATGAACTGCTGACCAAGAAGGTCTGACAGAAGATTTTCAATGACAGTGACATCAACGAACATTTTCTACACAATGAGCATTTATAAACATATTTTTGTGCAGGGATTAATCGAGTCTGTTCCACACGCAAGCTGATGTGCACTGTGCTGTGGTGCGTACAGTTGTATAAAAGGTGAAATGCACGCCAGCGTGCAGAAAGTGGGGACGGTGTGCTTTTGAATGAAAGTGCTTCTGATATATTTTAGTTCAAAAGCGCACTGCCACCATTTTCTCAGTGGTGACATACAGGTGGCTACTTGTATAACTGCGGGCACCACAGCACCAGGTGCTTTTTCAAAGCACTCGCCACTGCGGTGCGTGCATGTGTACAAATGCCAAATATGCACACGACAGCAGGACTTATTATTGCCTTGAAGAAACTGGTCCTTCCACGTTCAATCATAAACAGTAGATAAATGAAGATCTACATGGATTCCTGTTTAACTCCACTCTGTTGTCATTAATGCCAGGCCTGAATGTTAATACACTCACTAGCCTTGCCAGGAGGAAGAATTTCTGAATAGCATAATTTGCTGCCAAAACACAACATTTACATTTTCCTTGAATTTCAAACAAAAGTGGTGTTACACATACGTGCACAAACAATCTGACCTATAATACGTCAGAAATTTAAATGGGAAAGTAAAAATCTTAAATCATTTCCAATTAATAGGCTGTTTCTTGCCATTACCTCTATTTGAGATTAAGGTATTTCACATCTGGACTGCTTCCCAAGCCAATATGGACATATGGAGAAAGATAGCCTCTTACCTGTTGTCTAATAAGCATAGTATTACAATATTCACAAAACACATTTGCCAGTGGACAGTGCTGTTCGTGGTGCTTCAGTTGTTGAAGAGGTGAGAAAGAAGATAAGAACCAATTAGTTAGAGAAAGTTAAAAAGAATCTTTTATTGCTGACTAACTGTACTCTAGATGACCAATTCTTGATTGTTTTTTAAGTCTTAAGCTAGTTTTAAATCAGGAAATAGGAAGGTACTGAACAGATTTCCTTCCTCATTTTCTTCTCCCTGAACAGACAAGTATCCACACTTTCAGGTGTTTATTCTGCTCTTGTATCAGAATTAGTTTTTAAATTAGTAAAAAAAAGTCTTATTGCTCGACAAACACCACAAAAGTGATAACATTCATTTACATAGCAACTTCCATTCAAATCTGTCTTTTCAAAAAGGCTAATATGCCAGGCCCATTTACAAGTAAGGAAACTGGATCCCCAAAATGGTAAAGTAATGTGTCCAAGATCACCAACATTAGATTTAGAGCTAGGAACATAACACAGAACTATTTCTAGTCTCTTACTCTAAGAAGAAATCTATAGATGGGTGAACAGCTCCCTCAGCACCATGCTTATTTTGAGCAGACAGAGTGAGTCCATATCTATCAGGATTTTTGCCCTTTGGTTATTTCAGATCTTTTTAAAAAGGTTGCTGTAGGATAGTGACATTGTTGCAACTCCTAGTAAAGCAAAAAAAATAATAATTTTTTTTTAAAGTTAATGGTTTCTTTTTAGGCAAACACTTTTACCTATCTATGCACTGTAAAGTCCCCAAGAATGGTGAGACAAGTATGACCCTTTTCAAAAGAAGGCTACTCTTTAACCTGCTCTTGAAGAGCGCCTGTACTCATTATGGGGTTTAATCCATATTAATTTAAATAGGTTTATAAAATTTAAACTTGTTTATTTTGCAGCATCGTATCAATGTTTGCACATAGCAGATTTTCAAACAAATTAAGCCCGGTTCCTGGCTGGCACTGCAGGAGAGTAGGATGGTCCTGTGCTGCCTCCCTGGCCTGGGGCCCCTCACCCTGTGCCCTGCCATGAAGCTGTGGGAGCAGGGAGCTGACACACAGCACAAGGGAAAAAAAAAAAGTGGCAGTAATTTAAAGGGGTGAACTACTAAAAAGCCACAGTGCCACCTGGTGGACAAAGAGGCTCATTACATGTCTTTGATACACAACGCTTTGATTCGCAGCAAACCAAACTAAACGATGCCCAAGGAGTTTCAGTTTAATGCACCAGAAATACTTTTAAAGTGACTGGAAAACCTGTTTGTGCAAAGTCACGCCACTGCACTGCAAAAAACATGATGTGTACAAATGCCCAAAGACAATCGGGAGCTCACAACATTGGTATGGTGAGCAGTGCAGAAGAAATTGCTTTCTTTCTGAAGCAAACTAAAAAACAGCCTTTACTGATTCTGTCCTCACCTCTTTATCTTCATAAGCCATAGATGTGGCACAGTTGGGACAGCAGACTTGCCGCCGTGGACATTCCTGTGTCATGTGCTCTTTCATCTGATTCTTCTGGAAGAAGCCCAGGCACTGTGGGCATTCCACACATGAAAAGTTGCACTGTAACTGATGCTCCTGTACAACAGCAATAAGAGGACATAGTATTAAAAGCAAAATGAAAAATTCAGGTACCACATTCTCATTAGCCTTGAAAATAATAGACAAGCACTTTTTTAGGCCTTTCTTTGTTGCCCAGCCAGCCCACAGTGATTGGTCTACACAGACACATACACCTGAGCAGGGCACCACTGACTTTAATGACAGCCGGGGGGGGCAGGGGGGGAACTGTAATAGAGTTAGGGTTTGAAAAGACTAAACAGTGTTTCAATACTGTACTTATATGATCAATAAAATAATTACTACTTAAGCCACTGTTTATCAAACTTCAAGAATTATTTTAAAAAATCATCCATTATTCTAGCTGTTGTAAACTGCTGCTAGCAGATATTTTGGATGCTGAGGGTGCATCTATACAAGACATTTACTGAGCAGCTGATTAATTAGCTCCACAGTAGTCTCAGCATCTACAGTGAATCCCTGTTAGGGAACAGTAAACTAAACAACGGTGCCATATGTTAGTATCTGTCAACACAAGAACAATCTTACGGCGGCGTTGTTTAGTGCACTGCAATGCATGTGTAGATGTTGATGGGGTTGGCTGGGGCACAAGGGTGCTTCACTGGCCCCAAGCAGTCCCTCCGCAGCTTAAGTCGGATTGGAGCAAGTCCTGCATTGGCAGGCGAGTGACTCCTCTCCGCCAACTGGGGCTGTTCCGACCTTGCTCAACATGCTGCAGTCCTGAGTGTACATGTAAATACTGCACCCAGGAGCAGCAGACTCCAGTGTGAACTGTGCCGGAGTTTATTTCGTCATATTAACTACACGCGTAGATGCACCCTGTACATAGAAAACTGCCATATACATGATAAAAATTGATCAAAATCATCTCTTACAAGAGACAGTCTACACTGCAACCAGGGTGCTTAAGAGATTAGTATTATTTGTGATACAAAAAATATTGCCTATAAACTATGCCAAACACTCTTGGGTTACTTAACTTAGATCAACCACTTTCAAAGAAACAGTAGCAGACTTGAAAAAAAAATCAGCAATGGATCTGAACAACAAATCAGTAAGATGAAAATTGCTTAACTGAAGTCATTTAGGGATTTTAAGAAACTTTTAGAAATAGAAACCACTTTATTTGCATTTATAAAATTATTCCTACCTCTATATGTCTCAGCTCCATCTTCAAACGGCACCCTTTGTTGGGACATCTCACTGTTAGCGAGAGGATTTCCCTCTTGGCAAAGTTGTCAGGGAAAAGTTGATTTTCAAGTAGAATTTCATTGTCTACTGGACATTTGTGACCTGCATCTCTACCATAAGAGGGGGACAAAGGGTATTTTTGTATAAAGTGAAAGAATAGCAGATTTCATAATTCTTCTCTTGCCCTTATTTTAAAATCCTCTTACACGCCAGAGAGAAGCTATTGTCATATTTAAAGAATAAATTAAGCACATGTCTACAAGTAATATAGTTAAATAGCCAAGAGTAAGCAAAGAATAAACTAAACATGTGTATAAGTAACATAGTTAAATAGCCAATTGTGATCAAAGCTTCTGAACTGTAATACTACTAAAAATACTGATACTATAACAACACACGCAGTCGCACATGACTGGGTTAAAGACAAGGAGAATGTGTGGTTCAAAGATCAAAGGCCATACCATTGTGTTAGTTCTCACATTCTTGCTAGCAGAGACCTACTGCAGTGGTTCTTACCAAGGGTGCTGAAGAACCTTGGGGTACCTTTAGATCCTCCCAAGGGTGCCATGTAATGTCAGGCATGCACACAAAATTCACAAGATAAATCCCGAGACTTCAAATAGGAGTCTATAGTGTTAAAAGCATTCTGATCTGTTGTGGTCCAAGTTGTTTGCAACAGAAGAAATGTTGTATTATTTTTCTGTAGCCAAAAATGAGTGAAAACAATGAGCAGGCACTTCTGAGGAGTGCCTCAAATCTAACAAGGGATGCCTCAAGTCTAAAAAGGTTGAGAACTAATGACCTAGGGGGTTGGAAAGGAGATGAAAGTTTTGTTCCTTGCTGAATAAGGAAATCACTGATCAGCAGCTCAACTATTGTTAGGGGAAGTAGGGCAGAGTTGAGACTTGAAAGAGATGAACTTCCGTTTGAGAGTTTTGCTTTTAGGAGGTGGCTTGCCAAAAGGCTCTCTCACTCCTTAACAAGCAGAAAAAACAAAGCAGTGGTATACTATTTCAGATCTTACACCTTCCTCAACACAGTGAGCAGTCTTGTAATACTGAATAGACCTCCTACGCAAAAAGCAGTTAGACCAGGTATAGCAATGTCATGCACCGCCTATGCTCTGTTTATAATAAAGTTTATGGGCAACTTGTGGGGAAGGGCCTTCAGAAGTGAGCAGACTGTTTCCAGATGTAAAAAGCTATACTGTGCTAACACTTAACCTACTGTTAGTTAATGCTAGGCAGCACTATGTACATCTTTAACTTTTAAATTAATCAGAGGAGTGGGGTCTATCTCAACTGTAGAATGGGGATAAATACACATGCACCTATTTTAGCCAGACATGACTGTTTAATCAAGTACTAGCTAAATGCTAAGCATTTACAAGAATGTATATTATGTTTAAAAACCATAGTAAGAATGTAACATGGATGTTAAGGAAAAAAAGAAAAAAGCTCACAGTGGGAAGATACTATACAAGTTTCCTGCATAATTCAGTTTACACACTCCTCTACTAGTATGAACTTCTTGTTTTTCAAGTCTGGTGGATTTTCTGAGAAGTGACTGCCCAACAAGATAAGTTATATCACCTCGGATGGTACACATGCCTAGGGACCTACTGAAATTGCGTTTTTGCAGAAACCTTGAAATCAGTAGGGTCCCCTGAGAAAAAGCACAGGGACTGCAAAAAAAGGCCAGTGTGTGGGGGGGCCAGGAGCAGAGGAACGGGGAGAGCTATAAACAGAAAATGGCAGGAAGCCCTGGTGTCCTGAAGCTTGGGGGGTGGGGGGAATTTTCATGGAGGAGCATGCCTCTGGCCAAGGGGCACCAAAAGTCCTGCCCCTCCCCAGAGGGCTGGGACATTCGGGGCTCCTGGTCCAGTAAAAGGCGTGGGAGAGCCCGCCACACTCTGCTGCAAAAATACCAACTGGCACTGTGCTCAGACCACGAAACTGGGAGGCAGCTACCCCAAATTCGGTAGGTCTCTACACATAACATGAGCAAAAATCCATTAGGAAGTATTCTTGGAATATTCAACTAGCTTCACTAGTGACCTAAATTCAGATGTGGAAAGGAAAGCCACAATACCACCTAACCACTAAGAAAACTGACCCACAATGCTACAGCACTTTGGGCAGCTTGTCTGAGAAGTGTAATAACAAGGCTGTTGTTTAATCAAAGTCATCAAGTACATTATATCTTAAATGCTCAGAGTATGTAGGTTGGGAAGGATGCAACAAGCATAAAGGAAGAAGGCAAAGTAAGAGAACTAGACTATTTGGATTGTAAAAAGCTACTGCTTGAAACAGTTACTCCAAAAGTGTTCTAAAAAATTTAAGTAAGTTTAAGAAATCTGGCAAAAAGCATTCACTCCCTTCTCAGACTGTTTGAAGGCATCGTGTGCATTAAATATTCAGATTCCTGAATAGGTTTAAGATAAGCTTCTCAAAAGTTTGAGTATTATTGCTAGGGAAGAAGGCAGAGGGGAAGTGCAAGTCGTAGCGGGGTGGGAAGGCAGCATGGGGCAGAGGCTGGTGGACAGGTGGCATGGACAGAGGCAACAGTTGCAGTTTTGACTCCAATCCTGAGTTGGGGCCAGAGCTGGAGCTGCTACAGCTCTCTTGCTCCCACCTGTACTTGAATCCAAGACAGGTTTTTTTTCCTCTGTGGTGAATGGGGGAAAAAACCTCATCCTGGATTTCAGTAAATACAGTAGCTTACTAGTACCCCTCTAGGAGCATGCAAGTGTAATAGCTGCATCATAATGCTCCCTTTTAAAGTGCTTGGAAATTACCTCTGGCCACAGGCTAAGACTATACTTTCTGAGAACTGTCATTACATCTGATACAATGTTGGCAAACAGCTTGACACATTTTTCCTTTCAGCTAAGTGAATTGTTTGCAGACACTTTTTTCTACTGCCCAGCTCTACAGGTTGCTTAATATTATTAGCATTACCTCCATATTTGGAGTAATCAGTATAATCTCACTTTTCAACCAACTCTACTGGTTCTATTAGAAATAGCCTCTCTTTAGATTAAATTACAGCAACTTTAATTAGCCAAAATGTTCTTGTCTCCCAAAACTGAGATGGGACAGAAAGTTTTTGTGGGTGTGTCAATAAAGGGCATGACTCCAGAACTCAGACCCTCCTACATAATATTTCTGCTGACCTAGCAAAAATATTTTTCTGACATTTGGCATGTACTACAAGCCTGATGTATGTCATGGCCAGAGAAGATTAGAGGAAGGTTCTTATTTTATTTAGTTATTGGATTTGTGTTTAGGGATTCACTTCTAAAATTTGCTAACCAACACAAAGCAAATGCAATTACTCTAAGCTGAAAACTAACACTAGCAGACACCTAAGAAAGTCAGTTAACTTGCAACTGCTTATCACCACCTCATCTGCTATTACCTTTACTTACAACAAGGCTAAAGCTTTTTAAGAAGTAACTTAGCCAACTGTGATCCTATCCATGTTATCTGTGTAGCCTATATGATATAACCTAACATTTCAGTTTTAACATTTTTTGATACCTCATGGATGCAGGACTCAGAGGTGTGAACTCACTTGTGCCTTGAAACAGTGACTCAGAGATATGAACTCACTTGCTCCTTATTAAATCTTGCTGGAATATCAATTTTAAAGCTCAGTGATGACAATTTGGTGTCAACTTTAATGCATACAAGCAGAGGGAAGAAATAGAGATCAGGAAGGAAGAGAAAAGAAAGGTAGATATAGAAGTTTTCAAGCTGAGTAGAATTTCCACACTAAGCACTGCTTGTGACAATTGTATTGAACATCTGTCTACTGAACTTTTTGTTACTACACAATGGTCATTTCCCCCTTGTGAGGTTCTTATTGACATCACCGTGAATAGTAGGTACCACGTGTACTCCAACCTATGGATCACAAATAAGTGAGGAATTCAGCACTTTCCTCTGAAGGAGTGGGACACTTGCACTATAAACTCTCTGCTTTCATTAATACTCACTCCATGTGAAACCTGTCTCAGCTATGTGATTGAAGTAAATAGAGTTACTGATAGCCCTTGGAAAATCCTGGGGATGATCAATGGTCTCTCACATCTTTAAGTGATTTATAGTCACTGAAATAATGAATACTGGACTGAAAGAGAACAGAAGTAGGAAGTTCCACAGCTGTGAATCAAATCCTACCCCTGTAGTTATTAACAGCATTTACAGGTGACACTTATCGGAATATTTGTACTGCAGTTAAAAGAAAAGGCAACTGTTTCCCAGGCTCTGGGGTTTAAAACGGAAGCTTCTCCACCTGGCAGAAAAATGTAGTTGTTTTGAACACCACATCTCCCCTACTTCCTCATTAAGCACTGCCATAGGAAATCTCTATGAACTGGCAGATTGTTACAAACAGCAGTTAAAAAAAATTGGTCATACTAGGAGATTCTCTCACAAGGAAAGATGAAGAATCCTACTGATGGGTTTTTTTTATAAAAGAGTTTTCTTTTGAACTGGCTAGATGACCAAGATATTTCTAAAGCTCCATATAACCAAACATCCAGGCCATCAGCTTGGAAGATCCAATAAATTTTGTCCTCTTGAGACAGTTTTGACTTCTTGCATAAATTTCATCATAAAAATCCCAAAGTTAGTGTGAGCAGAGGCTAGGTACTGGTGTCAGTACATAAAGCAAGTCTGGTAGGAATATATCGAGGGGGCTTGGTTTCCTATGTATCCAACTAATATTACACAGACTTACTATACAAATGCTAAAGCCTGGTTTTATAGACTAAGATAGTTCCTCCCATGTTAGATTACACAGGAAGAAGCACATATTTGAAGTTACATAAGAGAGCAAGTTAAGGTTGGGAAGTCAAGCACTTAACCTCAGTTCTGGTATTTTCTTTTTATCTGTACAACCTTAATTTGATTCTAGCACTTATATATTATATGTTCATATTTTTATTTCTGCAGGCCCTTGCCTCATTTAATGCAACTCAAAAGGGCACTGTGAAGATAAATGTAGTAGTACATTATACATTAGTAGTGGCAGCCATAGAAAAACCATGGAGAATAAAATTTTGTATTGAGAGAAGAGTTCGTATGATGTGCAATAAAGAGATTTTGTGGGCAACACATTGAACAATAAGGATGACATAAAATACAGGATAGAGGCTTATTATTAACTAAGCACTATCCAGCATTTGCTGCAAGTGAAACAGGTTCCTGTGGGAAAATGGCATGTGTACACTTTTTCACAACTATTACATTGTACATAAAGGAAGGTTGCATCAAACTCAGTTCTGGTGTTTCTCTATTTTCAAATGAACAGCTCTGTGACCCATATCGCTTTTATGAATGCCATTTCCAAGGCTGATTTTTTTGTAAAGTAGATTAAGACAAATTGGTTTCATCACGTGGCACCATATTGAGTCCCACCTGGGTCAGCAGGGTTGGAACCTTTGGATTAAAGCCCAAATGGCAGAATTCTATTTGAAGGGAACAACAAGCTAGATCAGCAGTTCTAAACCTTGTTTGTACTGAGACTCATTTGTAAACATTGATCATCAGTCCCCACCCAGTGCCTCTCACTCCCGACCTGCTGCCTCCCACCCCTGGCCTCCCAGGTGTGTGAGGTTGGGGGGTGGGTGTGTGGGGCATGCCTCCAAGCAGCCCCTGGCAGACTGCAGTTCTTCCAGCCTGCAAGGGAAAAGCCACGGTTTCTGGTTTTCTCCTTTAAAGCAGAATCCATTTTTTAAAAGTGTGTTGATCCATTGTTAAAGTTTGTTTGCGACCCTTTCATATATTCTTGCAACCCACTTTTGGGTTGTAACCCCCGGGGTTAAGAAACAGTAAACTGGATTATTCTTAGTGGGGGCAAATGGCAGAACAATGAGCAATAGTCTCAAGCTGTAGCAAGGAAAGTTTAGGCTAGATATTAGGAAAAAAAGCGTTCTTACTACATGGGTAGTAAAACACGGAAACAGGTTACCCAGAGAGGTTGTGGAACCTCTATCCTTGGAGGTTTTTAAGACCCAGCTGGACAAAGCTGGGGATGGTCCTGCTTTGAGCAGAGAGTTGGACTAGATGACCTCCTTAGGTCCCTTACAGCCCTAATTTTCTATGATTCTAACAAATAAAAGGAAGACAATTTGCTCCTGAGCTACAGGGCGATATCACAAGTTTGACAGGCTGATTCTAGGTTCCAAAAGAATGGTGGTCTAGTAGTTGGATAACCTCCTGCCTCCCTTACCTGATCATCATTCTTCCTAGCCAAGCCCATCTGTTCCTCTGCACTCTCTCAGATTCTTCAGGTAGAGCCTCTACCAGCTCTCTGGATCAGTGTAATCCCCTGTAACTCTCCTCAGACCAGCCTCCTTGCTTACTCCCTGCTGCTTGGACATCATTAGGGGGAGCACTGGAAACCTGCTGTTCCTGTAACAAGCATAATAGTAGTCTCCAGGTACCCAGAACCACTGCAGTGAATGGCCTGCATAGCCTTGGCCTGGAGCACAATCAGCACAGATAGAATCTCTGGAGAATTTAACTGGTGAACAAATCTCTGCAGTGTACATCCAGAGAGAGACTTACAGAGGCCTTTATGTTTATCCATCTTTTAGGCAAATTTCAAACCTTTGCTGTCTTTAACACAGAGACAAACACCTTGAAAATATTAGAGTATTAAGCAGGAAGGCACTAGACCATCTCAACAAGAGAATCCAAAGATTTGTATTTAACCTATGGATTGACAACTTATTTTCCACTAACTTTGTTCTGAAAAAGAAGCTGCTATTTATGCTAAAATTATCGAAGGAAAAAGAAAAGATATATGCTCATTTTGGGGCATGTACTTGGCCTGAACAGCTGAAGTTTGGCATTTATAAGCAAAGGTGGTTTTAGGGAGCAACCTAAACATACCTGCTCTGCATATGATACAGTAAAGGCAGTCCTCAACTTCTAACATTTATAAATCGACACTGTTTCAACTTTACAAAGCTAGTTTCAATTTTACAACGCTTGATCTGATGCAATGCAATACAAGTTTGCTGTGTCACTCATCTCCCTGGAGAACATCTGTCCAAACTTGCTTGGACACTTTCTTTAAGAAACCAGACAAGACCCCAGAAACACCGGCAGCCAAGACTCCTGAGAAGACTCCAGCCAAGAACCCTTCAAAAAGTCCAGCAAAGTCACCTCAAAGAAGTCCTTCCAAATCAATATGATTGCTGTTTACAATATAAATACATTAATGTAGCTATATTACTCATCTATAATTGATCGAGTACAAAATTCTGGGGTATTTTTGGTGAAAATAGGGTATCGGGCCTTGGTTCAGGAAGCAGTGCCCCATTTATAATGTTGTTTCTTATGAGAACATATGTTCCGAGTTACAACGTTTCGACTTAAGACACGGTTTTCAGGAACCAATTGTGCCTTAAGTCCAAGGACTGCCAGTATCTTTCAAACCATTCTCACGGGTCATAATCCATTATGTAGCATCAACACAAACATGTAATGTGCCTTCACAAGTTGCGTTGTGTTTATGTTGCCCCTAAGCAGCTGTACTCAAATTGGTAAATGTACTTTCTTTGTAGATTCAATTCCCATTAGCACTCCTTTACCTTATTGATTTGACAATGCAGCCTTTGCAAAAGCGGTGTCCGCATGGTGTCTGCACTGCTTCCCGAAGAGCCATCAAACAGATAGGACACTCGTATTTACTTTCCAGGGGCGGATCGAACTCTACATCATATCCCTGGGTCTCTTCCGTGAAGGAATTTGGTGCATTTCCAGTCCCACTGCTGACACTTGCACTGTCTTCTTTTGCTCCAGCGCTGCATGCGCTGGCCATGGCTGCACAGCAGCCACTCTCCAGTTCTCTGGCTCCACAGCTGTTATCACTTTGTAGCAAGCTCATAGTAACCAGCTCAGTGCCAAGGAGGCGCTCTGCAAGGCAGAAAGTAAGTGTTAAATTAAATATTTTAGGATTCTGCTTTCCAACAGGACATCAATCCCACCCTAACACAAACATCATGGCACATGATCTGTAAGATTTTTCACAGATTTTTTTTTTTTAGTTTATGAACTCTAGCCTTTCATTGCTCTTTTTCCCATCCCTCATCATCATCATCATCATCATGCAGCCTCTGAGGGAACAGCAAGGTGGGTTGTCCTACACCAAAAACCAAATGCACCCCTCATGATGTTGGATCCATCTCCAATTCTAGTTAAAAGCTATTTTCCCCATTGGCTGTGCCTATTAAGAATGCCCCTTTTTTGTTTTCATACTATATATTTCTAAAGTATTTCAGTATGTTCAAATGAAAAAATGCTTTCCAAAACGTTTTCTTACAATCAATCCCTTGCTTTACATTTCCTCTGCCACCATGCGTCACACCTGACATTTTTAGTAAAGCAAGACTCATGGTTTAGGTTTCAATTTATTTGATAAGAGAATTTTGGGCATATGCCTCCAAATAAAATGTAATACAAATAACTTGAAGAAAGTAGATACTGAGCTGCAAAATGTGAGTTAAACATTACGATGCTGATAAGATTTTCTCATATTGGCAACAGGACTTTCAATTTAGTTAGACTCTATAAAATATGAGATAAGGGCCCCATTTCTGCAGTACAAGCTAGAAAAGCTAGCTACATACTAATAGTACTCCAAAATTCTTTCCTGATCTCCTGTAGCACCTTCTGATGTAGCTGGAAAAACAATATTAAACCAGGAAATGAGAATTATTTCTCTCTGCAAAGAGGAGAATTTTCTAATAAAGTCAATTTCTTAAACACCGCTCTCAAACATGCGGAACTCACATAGCAACAAAGCCGGTAAAGTCTAGTTATCCAAAATGATTCAACAGCAATTGGAATATTCATAGTTTACACCTTTCTTCAAAGCCCTCTATTCCTTTTAGCAATAATTTGACAAGTCTAAAAATAGTTTTGTTCCATTACTGATGTCCTTTATGATATCAAAGACCAATTTTGCTGCCTGTATTTATACTGAGGTTATTTGGAACCATTTGTGGTTTGCTTCCAATACAAAATATACTTAAGTATGGAGTCACTAAGGAGTGTGACTATGTAAATGTTGTAAAATTGAGCACTTACCATTAGGGAATAGCAGACTCAAGATTGCGTGTAACCTTAAAATGGTATCCATACCCACAAGCATTATAGATATGGAGGATTAAATGTCATGGCTTCATACCATTTGGCTACAGCTCCCCCACCTCATTCAGAACATAAGATAGAAATCTGCAGTTTAATCAGAGTTGGGCAGTAAATTTGCCTATAGACCCACACGTATTATTTATTGCAGAAGCTGGCAAATGAGTGCTAAATGAGCCAGGGTTTTAAGAAAACTGAATGCTACCTTGATTAATCAGATTATATCCCTGCCTTTGCCAGAGCTGTCCCATGAGTCACTTCAACCAAACATTCACTGGCTGTTACTACCCATGTTCCTCATTTTCTGGGCGTACAGCACGAGGTATGGGAACAGATTTGCAGAAGTACTGAGCACTCCAATATGCAACTGAAGTAATCTGGAGCCATGTACTGAGTATATTGTCACAGAAGTACATTTTAGTCGACCTTAACTGTAGGCAGAACAGATGACACTGCCTATAATAATGGGATAAAATGGTCATATTTGGCCTAAAACTAAAAAACAACTAATAAATAAAATAAAATCTAATGATGAAATCTATTAGACTGGAATACCTGTAATGACCCTGTTGGGGTCACTTAATCTTAGACTGGATATAATCCTGATGGGTTACCATAGGCAGATGGAGAAAAAATTATTTGGCAAAAGCCTGCCTTGCTGCAGGCTTTTGCCACCTTGCGCTGGATGGTGAATTCCAGCAGGTGATGATCGCTGTCGCCCAGGTGGTCGAGCACCCGCAGCCCCCATACGAGGTCGTCGCCTATGGCCAGCACCAGATCCAACAAGTTCTTTGGGTAGACGTGATATCTTTTATTAGACTAACTAAATAGTTGGAAAAATTCTTCTTTGCATGCTTTTGGACACAAACATGTTTCTTCAGGCGCAGGGAGAATTTGTCGTCTCCAGAGATAACATCCTTGTTAATAGCAGTATATGGAGATCAGAGATAACAGACCTGATTACCCGCCCATCAGCCCTATTGTCTCTCTACAAGTCTGTGTACACAGAATCAAGCCCTTACCTCTCTCTAAAAGTGCAAAGTTTCAAGAAGCTAAACGAATAAAGGATATCAAAAGCAAGAATGCATTTTTTGTGGAAAACAAGGATAAAATTGAGGCTTCCTGGCCAGTGATTTAAATCAATTTGATTTAAATCAAATCTACCCTGGTTCTCACTAATCCACTGGTAAGAAGCTCCTTAAGGGGAATAACTACAGAGGGCAAACCAAGCTGGAGGCATTGCAACCCTGGGCCCAGTCTAGGAATGACAGAATTACGCGATCCTACTCCCAGAGGAGTGAAGGCACAAGCCCCAAGAAGCACCCAACATGACCACACAAGAGAAAACAGGAACAAGCCAGCACAGACAAACAGAAGTCAGGTTTGATGAGCGCACATATTCCAGAGAGAAGTAACAGTTAAAGGAAGGTCTCCATCTTCTGTTTGTTTTTTTTTAAACCCTTGTTTAGCAGTACTTCAGCAAGATATTGCAATTACTATCCAACTAAATAAAGGGTCACATCTTGCTATATAATCTTAATAGTTTGATATTTACAGTACTTTACAGCTCTAAGTGCTGCACAAACAGAAAATTTATTCTGTTCCATCTTGAATTGTTCCTATAACCAGAATAGTTGTGCACCATTTAGTTCATGGAAACAAAAAACCACCACCAGATATTAATTGTAATGGGTGAGTCAGAGCAACCAGTCATTGTTCCATCGTAGTACAAAAATCCCATACTTTTACAACCTGCTAACAGCCCCCTTTTATCTGGAGCTTTCCACCTGCACATCTCCAAGAAGCTTACAAAAGTGAGGCAAGTACATTTATCTTCATTTTATAAAATTGGAAAGTTTAGACACGTTAAAAAAAGGCAGATATAGGAGAGCTTTCTGAGCCTTGAAGTCTAGAAGAACTGTTACACAATAGCCAAAACCCATATCAGATCACTGCATTGTATTTTAGAATAATTCACTCTTTTTTAAATTGAGTCCCTATTTTTTAGTCCTTTACTTATTTATTTATATATAAAGTCCATCTTTGCATTTGTTTTCTCCTTCGAAGGAATAGCAGCTGTGCCTCTACTCCTGCACACCTAAGTACCTAGTGAGCAAACACCTATTCTGTTGCACTGTAGGGTGCGGGCTTCTGTCTTGGACCAGCTGAGGAGATAATCAAATAAACTAACTGGAATTTATGATCTTCCTGGGAAAAGTACTGCATCCAAGTCCAGAAGCACCACTATGTTGTGTTCCTGGAAAATTTCCTCACAAAAAGTAAACTTAAAATAAGCCACAGGCCAGGAAAAAGGGATGCATTTGAAAATGAAAGATACTTTCAACCGAATACCCAGTTTAATTTGTTCATCTCTACACTTCACTAGGAGTTCACACACTAGTCAAAATTTAGGAAAACCAGAAACATTGAAAACCACACCATTTTTTCTTCAATTACTTTGAGTTATATCGCTTCTTCTCCCGGCTAAGTAAGACTTCAAACTAGAGTTTGGCATTATGAATAATTTGACAATCATTTAATTCCTTTGCCCCAGCATTACTGCTTATGGCAAAGGTTCAAAGGAATGTGCTTATTCATAATGACATGAGCATGGAGGCTAAAAATAAGATAAGTTACTCTCCCAAGAACATTTATTCAGTCATCTCTCTACATGAGAGCCACCAGAATCTCTGCAATCTTTCGTAGTGTGGAAGAGTTATGCCTTTTAGAACATTTATGCCTGGCAGCTTAGCTACAAAGACAATGCCAAATTAAGCAGTTCATAATGCATGTTACTCAATTAACCAAACACTGAAAATTAAATCTGCATGTAAAAAACCCCAAACAGTAGCTTGATCCCTTGTTCATGTAGAAGTACCCGAACTGGAACAAACCTAAACATTAAATTTAATGATGCTTCCTGATCAGCCCTTTCAAGAAGCTAGAACAGTTGTTCTCAACCTTTTTAGAATTGAGGCACTCCTCAGAAAATGCCAGCTTTTAGTCTTCACTGCTTTGTTTAAAAAAAAAAAATGGAGCAGCTCTTATGTTGCAAAGAACTCAGACCCCCCCAACAGGTCAGGAAGTTTTTGATACTATGGATTCCTGTTTAAAATCTCTGGATTTATTTTGTGAGTTAACATATCTAACAGTGTTAACACTGTGTGGCAACCTGTGGCACCCCTGTAAGGATTTCACATCACTCTAGGGTGTCATGACAACCTGCCATTGAGAGTCATTGAGTTCTAAACATCGATTTGCTGATGGGCAGAATGTGCACATTCACACAAGCACGCATGTGCATCTTGCAGCGTCTTAAAGTCCTCAAAAACGCGGCAGAAAAAAGCGAGGCAGAGCACGGTCCTGGACCATGCCCTGAGGCAACCAGGGGCTTGGTCCTCCACAGAGATGCTCTGGTAGCCTGCCAGAGCATCTCTGTGGTTGGCCCTTTCCTGCAGCAACCAGGACCTGGGCTCTGTGCCAGGTAAGTAGGGAGTGGGGGGAGCTGGAGGATGGGGGACTACTGAGGATGCAGGGGATCATGGGGGGGGCAGCTCGGGTGGGGTGGGTCTGCCAGCCACACCCCTGCATGGCTCCATCTCTCCCCGCTTGCCCCGCAGCCGGATGCAGCCCCCCCACTCGCCTCCCTGCTTGGCTCCAGCCTCCCGCTCGGCCCGCACTTAGCTCCAGCCCCCTGCTTGCCTCTCTGCTCAGCTCCAGGCCCCCAGCCTGGCTGCAGCCCCCA